CGACGTGCCAATCTGGGTCACGCGCAAATGCCAAACCAACTGCACTGATTGTCAGCTGAGGGGGAAAATGTGGGGAGTTAAGATCAGCAGGAGGGGCAAAATACACCCTTGCAAACTCAAATCAGATAGTAAAAGAACCAGGGAAGTTAATTCTGGCTTTTTCTAAGTTTTTATCTCCAAATACACGGAAATTAATTGCTGAAGTCTTATGGTGAGCTATTTCCTGTGTATTACACAGGATTGTGTGTAAAATGAGGATTTACTGCTCAAAACAATCCTGGGGGTTAAGGACTGTTTCATTCACTTTTTATAGTAGGTGAGGACACTGGGCTTTAAGAGAAAGTAAGAATTACGGAGAAAGTAAGTGGCAAAGCAGTGGTAAGCTCAGTTAACCAGACCAGACAGCCTCTTGGCATTTCTAAGGGAACATGGTAACCCCTGAACCAAAGGGTAAACCCCGAGGGTACTGCGCGGTGTCAGACACAGAAGCCTCATGGTCAGTCAGAAGAGCACTGAAGGCGAGGAGGAGGAGGAACGTGCCCAGATCACGGTAGGTAGGTAGGCAGACCCATTCTTTTCTTGAAGAAATCAATGATCAGAAAACATTAAAAACAAAACAAAAAGCAGGGCAGGCTGCTTTGAACCAAGACTCAGAAGTGAAACTCTGTAGTTCGCCACTAGCCTTCCACATCCCGGACTTTGCAGATGGAGTTCTGCCCTTTACATTCTCGGTGGTCTCACTTCCAAAGCCCACCATGGTGTTTCCTCTTCAGTTAGGCTCACTTTGGCCCAGACGGGAGCAGGCACGACCCCACAGCTACCTCTGAACAGGCAGGTGGCTGCTCGGCTAGTGTGGTCACTGGCCCCAGGGACTACCGAAGTCCAGGAAATGGAAAGGGTATCAAACTTCAGGTGTAGCAAAAACTCCATTATTTCATCTAGTGATCCTGAGATAAGTCCAGCTGTATTAAAAGCCAAGTACATGCTTTTATTAACCCTCGAGTAATCAGAATCCTTGATTAACTGGAACATGGCAGCCTGCTTTGAAAACAAGTTCACATCAAGATGTTTTTTTAAAAAAAAAAAAAGGCTTCTGTAAATGTCCTAGGAGCAGTACAAATTTGACTACAAATCAAAACTCATTTGTCTATAATAAGAGCTCAGTGAGAACTGACGGTCAAAATCAGGCCCCTGAAGAATCTAATCGTTCTGAATCATTACAGGAAGAAGAACAATGAAATCTTCTCAAGGTGGAATGGTAGGGTCATATGCAGGCATAGCTGACAGCACGGGCTGAGACAGGAAGGGACTTTCTGCTGGGCCCAGTGCCAGACACAAAGTCCAGGAAACCACGGTGGATCCACCCCATGGTCTTCTGGGCACCACGGGGTCATGAGAATAGATGATCCCCCCTGGTCTGCCTAATTCTGGGGTTCGGTCATATCGCCCTGCTCAGAACATGCACGGCTTGGTGTTGGGGCGTTTGATGTCAACGTGTGGTATGAAAGCCAAAGAAACACGAGCCTGCTAACTCAAAGCATCACACACAAATCGGGGTTCATGCTATGGGATCTTGGAGCCACTGACAGATAGAATCCGTCTTGTAATGCGATCCATCTGGGACTTTAATAGCGAACCTCTCTTGCTTGGATAATAACCGCAAATAAGATCTATCTTACGCCAGATCTCGCTTTTTGGTAGAAAGCTTCCAATGTGGGGCGCCTGGGTGGCTCAGTGGGTTAAAGCCTCTGCCTTCGGCTCAAGACATGATCTCAGGGTCCTGGGATCGAGCCCCGCATCGGGCTCTCTGCTCGGCAGGGAGCCTGCTTCCCTTCCTCTCCCTCTGCCTGCCTCTCTGCCTACTTGTAAACTCTATCAAATAAATAAATAAAATCTTTAAAAAAAAAAAAAGAAAGAAAAAGAAAGCTTCCAACGAGCTTATTTTATTCTAATAGCAGAAACTGTGCTGAGGACACCAAAGGACATGTCCTATGTGACTGTTGGGTGTCAGTGGGCTCACTGGCTTTCATACCGCTGGGGATCAGGAGCACAGGGTGTTGTGTTACTCTGGGCACTAAAATGCTCCCCACTGCCGAGGCATGTTGGGAGGATGACGAAGCACTGCAGAAGGAAAGCAGCAATCATTCCACTAACTCACTCAACAACCACTGACTCTGCTCATGAGCTGGGTGCCGGTGGCTGTCCCAACGTGAGTTCGTGCTGGCCACAGCTCTACTCCAGGCTATGGCGGAGCTGAAGCAGAGATGGCCTTTACAGTGCCGACGGACAGACAGTCCACTTAGACGGACTACAGATCAGACTGCTGTGCTGGTGGTTTGCTTGACTTGGAAAGAAAGAGGATGTGTACAGAAAGGGGAGGCTCTAACAGAAAATGAGGGAGTGCGGGCAGCCCCTTCGTTCCACCACCAGAAGTGGCCCGCTATGACCATGGGTCTTCGAAAACTGTCACCACATGACAGTCTCGATCTGGAGTTAAAGATGCCCCAATTTATCCCATTTCCATGCTTGGGATATCTGTCTAAGGACTACACCACTGAGACAAAGGACTTTTAGACAGACCTCACTGGACAAGAAGCCACGACCATCCCCAGCCCAACGATAACACAAGATGTGAAGGACAGCCGGTCCTACATGCTCTTCAGAACGAGGCAGCCTTCTGGACCCCTGGAGGCTGGTCTGGCCCCACAGGGTGGATGCCTGCTCTCAGACTCAAAGCATGCTGCGGCCAGTACCCAGGTACCACCTGCCCTCGGGAGGGCTCGGCATGGCCCAGGGACAGAGACAGGCAAGCTCATGCATGGGTTAGTATCACAGAGGGTAGTACCATCACCACATACAGAGTACCTGGGAATAACCTACTTTGAGGGCTCAAATGCAGATAGGTCTTCTGCCTTGGGCTTGAGGCTAAACCAGCAAAATAAAATGAAGAAAAACAAAAACATACCCTGTGATATCAACAATGCCACATGTGCCATTTGCAAAATGCTCAGACAGGCCTGAAATTGTGACAAGTGACTTCATTTGTTTGTGTTTATGGCTGGGAAACAGGTCTCTCTGGCTTTCAGCACTCCAGGTTCCCGTGGCTGAGGGCCCAGCTCACCGCAGCAGCTGCAAAGAGGAGACTGCTTCGGGTGCCCAGATGGGGGAACCGGGGGCTGGGGAGGGGACAGTCCTGGGGTAGCTCCTTCAAGGGCGGACTGGCTTACTGGCCCAGGGGTCATTTTACCTCTAGGCTCCCTGGGTGAGGCCTCATGTGACCTCTCCTTCTGCTAACTGTTTAATAATTTCATTTCAGAAGGGAAACCCAGTAAATGACGGGAGCAGAGGAAAGCAGAATGTGCACTGGGGTAAAGTCTTTCCTTTTTGGTTATGCTAGTAAAAGGAATTCTCTACTGGGTGCCAATACTAAACTGGAGTTCGGAGAGAGAATTCCGGGCTCCTGACTGTACCCATCAACAATGTCAAGGAGGTAAGGAGCCCTTGGGAGTTTTTAGATACAGCTCAACTATTGAAAACAGATACTCCTGGGGTGCCTCGGTGGCTCAGTCGGTTAAGCATCCGCCTTTGGCTCAGGTCTTGATACCAGAGTCCTGGGATCAAGCCCCACAGCAGGCTCCCTGCTCAGTGGGAAGCCTCCTTCTACCTCTTCCCAGCCCTTACTCATGCTCTCTCTCGCTCTCTCTCTAATAAATAAATAAAATCTTTTTTTTTTAATAAAATCTAAACAACAACAACAACAACAGATATTCCTTAACCTGGGACACCACTTTAAAGACTAAGGTAAAGAATAAAAAACCTATCTAAACCATCATGATCGAAACTGAATGAACAGTCTAATCTTAATGACACCTCTTTTACAGGCATGTGCTTGACCCTGGGCTATCAGTCAGAAGCAGGTGACTAGTAGGATAGGCCATTTCTGCTTTGCCCAATGTGAGAGAAATACACTCTTGGGCTGACATGTATATGGGATGTAACCTTCTCTAAAATGCTGAAAGCTCAAACTATCAGTAGAGAACGATCTGAAACTGCTAGCAACATAAATGAAGTCTCACCTTTTAAAACATTAAGCTTCTTCTAGACAGTTCTGTGTTAAGTATGAAAAAAATGTTAAAAATTCAGGATTTATGGGACTCCTGGGTGGCTCAGTGGGTTAAAGCCTCTGCCTTCAGCTCAGGTCATGATCCCAGGGTCCTGGGATCAAGCCCCGCATTGGGCTCTCTGCTCGGCAGGGAGCCTGCTTCCCCCTCTCCTTGCCTGCTTCTCTGCCTACTTGTGATCACTGTCTGACAAATAAAAAAAATCTTAAAAAAAAAAAAAATATATATATATATATATATAAAAATTCAGGATTTAGGGGGCACCTGGGTGATTCAGTGGGTTATAGCCTCTGCCTTCGGCTCAGGTCATGATCCCAGGGTCCTGGGATCAAGCCCCACATCGGGCTCTCTGCTCAGCAGGGAGCCTGCTTCCCCCCGCACCCCCGCCCCGCCTGCCTCTCTGCCTACTTGTGATCTCTGTCAAATAAATAAATAAAATCTTAAAAAAAAAAAAAATCAGGATTTGGTTTCTTTAAAACAAGAACAGAATTTTTTTTATAGTCCTTGCATTTAAAAACCCAAAAAGACCATTCTTAACAGCCTCGTTTTGTTTTCTCAAGAAGTAAGGCAACTCCCTGGGCAGAACTCCCCTTGGCTTAAAAGACAGAATCGCTTTACTGCTAAATGATGGATCAAAACCCATCTCATAACAGTGATTCATTTCATCTGAGCTTTTAACACAGGCTCCCCTTCCATCAAGCCAATGGGTTCACAGTCATTGGTGGATTAAATTCCCTTTCTGGCATGAGTTAAAAAATTTCCTCAAGTACATATAAAAAATGATAACAGTCTAATGACTCGGCTGCTCAGGAAACCAGATGCCAACCTCACATTTCATTAACAACCGTCCTGATTGGAGAAGGACTGGAGACTCGATACCTTTTTGATGGTATTGTGCTTGCTGCTGGTGCCACCCCGGTCGGAGTTCTCGTTGTGCAGAATATCCAAGGCTGTCTCCCTCTCTTTGAGTTTCAGGGCCTCGATCTCAGTCTTGAGTTCATTGAGCTGCTCCTGCAAATGCTTGCTCTTCTCCATGTATTCCACTCTGTCAGCAAAAGGACAGTGTGTGTCACAGCTTTTGGTGGCCCTGAGACATGGGATCCAGGGCCCCATGCAGCCCAGGGTCCACGTCTCTGCCCAGCCACTCCCAGGCTGAGGGAGCCTGGGCTCGTCACCTAAAAGGTCTGAATCTGTTAATGCTCACAGAGCTATGGTTAGAATTAAGTAAAAGCAAGTGCAGGAAAGGCCCCTGGTAAACTCTCATAAAGTAGTCTCTACAAATACCCATGACTGCAGAGAGCTTTGAGTTCTGCACAAGCAACGACACATGAATCAATACTCCCAGCAACCAAGACAATTTCCTTGTCTCAGTCCTGCTCTGATAAGTGATTCCGTTCAAGTGACCTCTTCCGATAGGCCCTGGCCACATCCCTACTTGTTTTGCGATGTCATCTCCTAAAGAGGGTGCAACCCCAGGAAGAAAAAGATCCCCGCCATCGCCTGCAAGTAGATACTCTGTATCTGTGACGGTGAAAATCTGGAAATCATCCTCAGTGTCTGCCTTCAAGGGCATCAGGAGAACCACGCAACACAAACACAGGAACTTTCTGTAGCGATGCCCATGGCTGGTATGTGGCTTCTGTCATGTGCACGGGTAATAAGAAAACACAAAGTATAAAAAAACAGGACTCAACAGAAAGTAGCCTCACCCCGCTCACAACCACGAAATGCTCACTGTGCCTGGTCAACGGAGAAAGGCTGGAAGGGCAACTCGGACAGCAGATACCACAGATAAAGAGGCTGTAGCTGCTCAGTCTGGGCTCCAAGGAGACACTGTCCCGAGAGAGCAAGCCCAAGGATACTGGACAAGGTGAGAGCCTCACATAGGCCTCACACAGAGACTCACATGGGCTTGGAGCTGAATCCTCATTCTGCCCCTCACCAGCCCTGTGATGCTGGATGAGCTCATTAAACGCTGTAGATCTCATTTATAAATGTCACACTAAAACCTACCTCTGATGTCAGCTTGATGTTCGTTAGCAGGAATGAAATGAGACAATGCTAGAAAGCCCCGCCACCCAGGCACTCTGTACATGGTTCTCCAGCAAGCCGTGGCACAAGCGGCCAATTTGGGGGTACAGCTCAGTGGTAGAGCATTTGACTGCACAAGCGGCCAATTTACCTATGGCTGGAACTGGGGGAACTGCAGCCGGATTCCTTCTGCAGCGAGACTCCTTGCTTGCCTCGGTTCCACCAACCAGGAAAGGAAGGAGGAGCGCACAGCAGGAACCGCTACGAACAGGGCAGGCAGGGCTCAGCTCAGGGCTACCCCAAGCAGCAGGGCTAGCCTGACCCAGATGTTTGCTCTCCCCCGACCTTGAACCCGAGTCTCTTCCCTGACCCTCATTCTAGACCTGGGAAGTGCCGCCCGTGCCTGTCTCAAGTGCCAGAGAAGACAACCAGGAAACCTGATCTGTTCCCATGTTCGGACATTATCACAGGCTCTACCTCCGTGCGAACAGCAGTCTGACTCGGAGATCCCTGACAAGCAGTCCTAGACTGTAGATGAGGTTTCAAAACGCCATAAACTCCAGGTCACCAATCAAGGATCATTGTTAGCCTGCAAGACTGAATGCTGTCGTGATGTCCTTCACTTCTGATGAGGAAATTCTTCCTTCAGAGGGTGGGAACAGAGCAACCCCTGCAGGGCTAGTGACAGGCTCTTACGGTGACCCTCCACATTCTCCAGGTCCAGATGGCCCCACTCTAGCTGGGGAGGGTACAAGGTCAGGGGGGACTACGTACTTTTCTTTCTCTATCTCCATGGAAAGCCGCTTCATGTCAGTATCCTTGAAGTCGAAAGACAGGCTGTCACCAATGAGGTTGAAGCTTGGTATATCAGGAGGCAGTGGTGCTGGAATTGGGTTCATGGGCTATGAATGAGAAATCTCCAGTTAGGAGGGCCAGGTTCTATGAGAACTGGGCCACTGCTGTGTTTACCATCCCCCTCCAGCAGCCACAGAGGCAATGGGCATAGCTCGGGTCCTGCCTCCCACCCAGCACCACCATGGCCTCACGTCACCACTGTCACTCATTTCTCCTCCTCCAATCTACCCATGTTTGGCTGCTGCCAGATGATAGACCCCAAAGATCTCAGATCCAGGTAAATCATTCCATTCCTCTCCCCTCAAACCTTTAACAGCTCTTTGTGCTCAGCCAAATTGAAAAACAAACTCCTACTCACTTCTTCGTTGAGGAAGACCCCGGGCTAGGAGCTGGAGATGCAGAGAACAAGACAGAGTCCCTAGCTTGGAACAGCTGAAAGTATTGTCTGGTAAACAGAGGGTGCTCATAGACCATCATGGTTAGGTAAGAGAGATGCTGTAGCCAGAGAGTAAACAGTGGCCAAGGGAGCTGGAGAAGGCTTGCTAGAAGAGATGCTGCTTCTGCTGGCACCAGATGATGTGCCAGGGGAAAAAGCTTAACCGGCAAGAGGCATGGAACTGGGCAGCGCAGAGAAGGCTCAGTGAGAACGCTGGCGGAGGCGGGTGAGAGACAGAACCAGACCCTAAGGAGCTACCCTGCATGGTGAGGGGCTTGGGTTCAGATGGAGATAAGAGGAGGGCCTGAAGCAGAGGATGAAGGGATTATGAGGACTTTCTCATCCCAAAACAAAGGGTCATCTCAAATATGGCCCCAATCTAGTCTAGCTTTTCCTAGGAACTGCTTGCCCTAACAAAACATGAACAGTACCATTTCTGTTCCTTTGCTTAAACCACTGCTCTCCCTATACACAATCTCTCTTTCAAGGCCCTTCTCAAATACTAGGATATCTCACCAAAGCCTTTCTAGATCCCTCTTGGCCAGATGGCAACTCTCTGCTATGCGTTAACATTGTGTTTCTGATTCTGTTAGGGCACTTCCCTAACTCCGCCCTGTAAAAAAAATCCCTTTTGGCTGTGTCTTCTTCTTCACCGTTGGCAAGTTTCCTAAGGGCAGGAAGGATCTGCCTCTCTCTTCACCCTTGGATCCTTGGCTGAGTCTGGGACAGCATCTGGGAAAGGGGAGAGGCCCCGAGCACTCATCTGAGACGATGACAAGGCCTGAGGCAGACTGTCTGCGTGGGCGTTGAAGGTGGTGCTGAGAGGGGGCTTCTGGGGTACTAGAACGTTCTGTTTTCTGATTTGGGTGCTGGGTGCATGGGTGTGTTGAGTTTGTGAGAATTCATCAAGCTGTACACTTATAATCTGGGCACTTCTCTGTACATACGCTATAGCCCATCAAAATTTCCGAAAAGATGGCGCTGAGCGCTGCACTGTGGGTGAGAACAGACACTGGTACGACCTCTGTGGAGAGCATCTCGATGGAAAACCTAACCCCACAGCTCTATTTATGATAAGTTATTCTATCAGTATATTCACTGTATGTGCGAAGATTTGTGCTCAGGGGTATTTTCTGCAGTTCTGTTCACAACTGTGGAAGAAAACAGACTAAATACTCATCCATAGAGAACCACTTAAATGAAATTACAATCCATCCGTACTGCAAAATATGATTAAAAGACTGATATGAACTCCTCCACGACTTATTTATTTACTGCGTGTAGAGTGTATAAAGTTTGCTCCAGTGTGCGTTGTTTTATTTTATTTATTTCTATATTTTTAAAGATTTTATTTTTGAGTGATCTCTGCACCCAACGTGTGACTCGAACCCGCCATGGCAAGATCAAGAGTCGCATGCTCTACTGACTGAGCCAGCCAGGAACCCCCCACATCTCAGGTGCCCAGCCCAGACAGTGGCAGACAACCTGAGGCAGGACCATCGGCCCACTCAACCCACCGGGCTGTGAGAGACAATAAGGAATGGCTGGCTTGGGGTGGCCTAGAGAAACGGAACAGATGACAAGAGCACTCTGCTCACATTTCCCTCCACCTCAAACCCTGGGCTACTTCAGTCGCTGCGCACCTCTTCACTGCCTATGCCGTACGAGTGGGCAGTGCGTGTGTTTGTGCCTGTGGATTACACACGCACACCTGTGCGGTGGCTGAAAACACCTCCCAGTCTCTTGCCCACCTAGCTCGTTCTGACTTCCCCTCTAAGAGCCCGCCCAGGTGCCACCCTATGCCTCTCCTGCCCCTGCAGGCTGGGCTACATTCTCCTCCAGGCCCCTGTGCACCCTGTCTGGGTACAGACTGAGCATCTGCCTGGTATTACATGGAACAGAACAGTCTACTGAACTGAATGCACAGAGGAAGGGCAGGGAAGAGACTTCTCTATTCACTGTGTGGCCCTGTTTAATTGAAGTCTGCCTCCTTGTCCCAAAATTGAGTCTGGAAACTTGTTTTTATGTGGCAATCATTCATTCTGAGGTACACGGGGTACCCCTGCCCAGAACTACAATGACAATATATCGTATACACAGGTAGCTTGAAGGTTACATTCAGCTTGGCATCCAGAGCCTATCCTCTTCTGAGGATAACCTGGGACTATACTACTTAGAATAAGAAAAACATTTCAGAGCCGGGAAAGGCCCTGCTGCCCGTTATCTAGGTAACTGGACAGGTGACTTGTCCAAGGCCAGAGGGCAGACCAGGCATCCTCTCCAGTCCCCAGCTGCAGGCCTGCAGCAGCACTCACTCTGCCATGGCCCCACCCGGGGAACCAGAGGAAGCAGGGGAGCAGAAGGGCTGGGAGAGAAGGGAAAGCTGTGAGGTCTGCAGAAGCTCCAGGCTGGCAGCCCCCAGCCAGGCTCACCGGGTATGTGGGCTTGGTGGTGATTTCCAGGAGCTTCTGCTTGGCTCTTCGCTCTGCCTCGCGGGCTTCCTGCAGGTCCTGCTTCAGCTGATCAGCCTCCTTAGCCCTGCAAGGAAAGGAGGAGCCAGTCAGCTCCTCGAAGGCGACAGGTGGCAGGAAGCGAGCCCTCTGCCCCACTATTCCCCTGGAAATGAAGGTCATGGGTTAATCCTGAGGATGGCACCAGATCAGGCAAACAAGGCCAGTGGCTGTGGAGGCATTTATGTGAAAATCAGAACTTCCAAAGCAAGGACAACATTCCTGAGTTCTGTTCATTGCAACAGTAAATCTAAACCAGAAGAGCAGGGAAGCCAGAGGGCAGGAGTCAAGTTCAAACCTTTGCAGTTGGTGGAGGGGGAGGAGAAGTGGGGGAGGAGCTAGCAGCTTCCTCTGCTTCACTTCTGGGTGAGAGTGGGCTGGGCAAAGGTACAGTACAGTGGATCGGAGGTCTAATATTGGATTCTGAAGGGCAGGATAGGAGAGAACTGATTCTTCACAGCCCCTAAGTAAAACACCTGCAGGCCTGGGGCCGACCTCAAGCAAGACGACGAGCACCAACGCTGAGGGCGTCACACCTCACCCTGCAAGACACAGGACCCAGGGGGCCCGGCCCAACAAGCATCAGTCTGCAGGGGAAGTGACCCGCACACAGAAAGAAAGGTGCCCAAGACAGGGCAGGAAACCAAGAACCATATTCCCAGAACGACATGCAAAAAGTGGAGAGGAAACCGTAGTGAATGCACCTTGGTAGCAAAAAGCCAAATTCAACCGAGCCAAATGCTGTGGGGAATGCGCCAGTGTTTATCTGAAGACGGCAGGGCCAGAACAATCCCGAGCCTAGAACAGTCTTTGGGAAGTAGAGACTAAGTTCCATCCTTCAACCTGGTTGTGAGCTGGCCACAAAGAGGACCCTGGCCCTCCCCTCCTATCTGCCTCAGGAGCCTTAGCACCAAGAAGGGCTGCAGGGAAGGGGGTTTCTCCTTACTCCATTAAGGGTAAATAGCTGCTGTCTCCCCACATGTCCCCTAAATGAAAAGGGAAAAGAACCACATTTTTTAAACGTAAGAAGAGCCTCCTTACAGCTCCTCAGCTGAATGCAGCTGGCGGCCGTGCTTGATGGCTTTCCTGCCAGCACGGCTATCAGAGGGACGGCGGTTTATCACAGGCCCAAGCATGACCAGAGGTCCACTCAACAAGAGAACTGTGTTCCTGAGCCTTTTTACTAATTCCAGCCCTCAAACCCTACACCGGCTTAAGTACCAGTTCTCACCAACCTGTCAAGGGAGGAGCCTCCCCCCGCCCCAGAAGATGGAGAAGCGGCTTGCGGACAAGTGCAGTCAAGCTCTGCACGACTGGGTGGGCCTTCGCCTGAGCCCCAGGGCCCGGGGCTCCCGACCTCTCACCTCCTCTCTGACTCCTCGGCCATCTTCAGAGCCAGCACCTCGGCCTCTAGCACCTTCTGCTCCATCAGGCGCTTCTCCTCCTCTGTCCGAATGGCTGTGGCCTTGATGCGCTGCATTTCCTGTTCAGCCTCTGCAGCCTTCTGTGCCAGGAGTTTGGCCTCCTCCTCTGTGATTTGGGCCTTTTCTGCCAACAGGTCAGCCGTCTCCTCAGACCGCATCTGGAGAAGACCACGGTCAGCTGAGACGGGGACCACGTACCCATCACCCCCCCCCCACCCCGATGTGGCCTCAGACATTCAGGTCAGCGAGAACCAGGGCCTCCGGGGCTCTGCCACTGAATGTCCCATCAGAGGACACTTGGGCACGGGATGACAAGCCACACTCTCAACTGTTTGGAAAGGTTCTTCAGGTTCTGCCTACAGGGAGCAAGAAGAAAGCGCCTTTCTGAGTGTCCACTTGAGCTGAGGCATATGCTGTATGAGGAAGAAAACCAACTTTACCTTGTTTTTTCCTTTTAAATCAGTGGTTCAAACCAGTAGAGACTACTCCCCTGGGAGACAGGTAACAATGTCTGGAGGCATTTTTGATTGTCACAAGTGGTGGTGGGGGGGCGTGCTACTGGCATCTAGCGGGTAGGGGGTCAGGGACATTGCTAAACATCCTGTGAGCCATTGGACAGCTCCCACCATAAAGGGTGATGTGATCTGCCCTCAGTACCAGCTGAGAAGCCCCGCTTTATTTTTATTTTTTTAAAAAGATTTTATTTATTTGACAGAGATCACAAGTAGGCAGAGGCAGGCAGTGGGGCGGGGGCGGGGGAAGAAGGCTCCCTGCTGAGCAGAGAGCCCAATGTGGGGCTCGATCCCAGGATCGTGATCATGACCTGAGCAGAGCCGAAGGCAGAGGCTTTAACCCACTGAGCTACCCAGGCGCCCCGAGAAGCCCCGCTTTAAAGGCGAGACCCAGTCAAAGTGGGGCTCGGCCGCACATGAACTTCACCAGTCCGCCTCTGCCGACACAGGTGGAAAGAAAGGCACTGATTTTTTTTTTTTTTTTTTAGCTGAAATGTCAAAGCATGTTACTAATCTGTGGTCATTGGGAGGCTTAACTTCTAAACCCACGAGAGTCCCCATGTAGCCTCCAGGGGCCCAGACCCCCAAAGCAATCACCAGAGCTTCGTTGGCCATCGTTGCCTCTTCTTTCATCTGCAGCAGCCTCCTCTCCAGCTCGTCCCTTGTGCGCTCTGCCTCCTCCCTCATCTGCTTCTCTCGAGCAAGTCGCTGCCGCTCCATCTGAGGGCCAATGACAGTGGCCACTGAGTCACGGAGCCCATGGTCTGCAGTGCCACGGGGGCCCAAGAATGCCCAGTGTCCAGATTCCCCCAAGGAGACCCTCTTTTCTCCCCTTTACTTTAGGTTGCCAGTGTCATTCTTGTCACCCGCCACCCTTTGTCCTTCGAAACCAGCTGCAGGATCGAAGGCTGTGTCCCTTGAAAAAACGTCTAGAGGTGAGAGAACAAACACAACAATAAAAAGGCGAGCCCTGTCAAGTGTACCGGGATCGAAGGTGCCATTCTTCCGCACTGTGTGCTGAAATGGCCACCCCGCCAATATCCCTTTATGTTGGGAGACCTCACATGGCTCTGCCCTGCGGCTGACAGGACACGATGCAGGTTCCTTCTCCACGAGACGGAGCCCCAGAAACACACCGCTCACTTCTGGCTGGAAGAGCCACTTTGCCATTTCTCTTCCACACGGACCCCTCCCACATCTCTAATTTCTTCCCCAATTGCTCTTGCCGCTGACCCACGGAGAAGATGGAATGGTTCTACGGGAGACATCTGGAGTTCACACAGTGTGTGTCACGGTGGGGAAGCTGCAATGCCACCATACAGGGGCCCAGCCTCACGCAGAGGCAGCTCCTGGCCAGGACTGCAACAGGAGGGAGCCGAGCAGGGAATGCAGCAACCTCCCCCAATCCCATCCTTAAGGCACCAGTACAAAGCCACTGCCGCCTCCCATGCCTTCTGGATCACTGTATTAATTGGGCCACATGCAGAGCTTAATAAGGGGAACAAGCACAGGACAAGTGCTATTCTCTGTGATCGCAGGGTATTAACGGAGTTCAGAAAGCAGAAGCCAGAAGTGACCACAGCACTATTTTCTTCCTTAAATAGAGCACATTTAATTACTTCTTGCTTCAATCTTTTCCCAAACACAAGATTTTTAAGATTGCTGCCTTTTCTAAATACTGAGCCAAAAAAAGGGCATTGGGCCTCAAAGGAATAATGCAAAGACAGCAATAAAATACTGTAAATTCTTCTCCAATTTTCCACTTGCAGATCAGTGAAAAGCTAGGCCAATTTTTTTTTTCCTAATTTCCACTGCATTATAATTTCCATTAGGTAGATTACTGTACCTCCATTATTCTCCACTTGAAAAAATCCCAGGAAACCACCTTCTGTTCCCAGCACTGCACTTTCCCTGAGACCGCCACCCACTAATAAGGGGCCTCCTGCCTGCAAGGTCGTTTCGGTCCGCAAAGGCTTTCAGGGGCAATGGTCCTCTGATCTGAGACAGAGAAGATGTACCATTAGCTCCACTGGGCAGATGGGAAAACTGAGGTCTGGGAGTTAAGTCATTTAGTAATGTCACATACTAAGTTTCCCATCTGGCTCCAAGGTCTGTGTCTATTCCACTGGGCCATAAAGCCCTCGGCCTGTGGCTGCCAGATGCCAGGGACATGTCTCTGGTGTTCTACAAGCAGCGCAGGCCAGGGCCGTGTGCATTCTATTCTCTGCCAACAGCTCCGAGGCTGTCGCACTCATTGCCATTTTCAGATCTCTCACTTCTAAGCTTTGCTCATCTGAAAAGAGGTCAAAGAAGGCCCTTCTTGAAGTTGCCACCTAGACCTGTGCTGGCTCAGGAGTATTTCTTTGTCCAAGAAAACCCACCCTACCACTGTGGCCCCCAAAGCAGCCCAAACAGTCTGTCGTCTCACAGAGCAAAGGGATGGAACGCTGAAGGCATGCTGGCTCAAACTGGGCATTTCGTTCCAAATCTCAGGGCAGGGAGCCAGCCTCATCGGAGTCCCCACATCAGAGAGCTGCACACAGACTAATGATTACACCTCTGAGCCTGCAAGTCCTGAGGGCAGCTGACTGCAGCTGCTGCTACTCTGTCTAGGAGTTGGTCCAAAACCACAGTGGATATTCTCAGCAGCGAGGCTCAGATTAGTTGTGTGGATTTTGGTGAGTCGACATGATTTGTGAGTAGAAAACAATGATGCGGACTGTCCAGTCTGCTGATAAGCACTCCCAGCACCTCCCACCATGGGCAACATGCCACCTGGGCTGACCTGTGGCAGGGAAGTGGGGCTGGAGTCTAATTAGCATTCCCTCAGCAAGTACAAGACGCTGCTGTGCATTCTATCACCATCTAATTAGAAAAGGACAAGGCTGGGCAAAGGAGACAGGCAGGCAGAAAGAAAGCAAGCTAGCTAGTTGGACAGACTATGAGTGGATGGATGGATGGATGGATGGACGGACAGACGGATGGATGGACAGATGGATGGACACAGGCTTGCCTATCCCTTCCCAAGCCTGCATTAATCACACTTCACTTACTTAAGTGGGGAAATACTAGAAATGTTTCTTTTACATATGCTGTCAGAGTTTATTCCTCATTTCAGAGCAGACACCCCATCGGCTGGGCATCAGCCAGTGAAGATCCAACAGAGATAAAATGAGAGAAGGTGTACCTATGGCTGAACGACACCTGTCAGCCCATGACCGCTGCTCACCTCCCAGGCCAAGACCACGAAGCAGCGACAATGGTGGTTCAGACACGGTCTTGCTCACCTGCTTTCTAGCCTTCTCCTCCCTGGCCTGGGCTTTCATCTGCTGAACTTCCAAAGAATCGGCCTTCCTTCTCCTCATAAAAAGGTCATGGTTCCCGATACAGAGCTGGAGAATCTGTGGTTGGAAGCAGTGGCAATGTTAAAGCCAGAAGTTTACTTCACTGCCTACCAGCTCACTAGCCCTATGGTGTCTTGGTTTCAGGGCTCTTGGGGTCAGCAGGAAACCTGAGAAATAAAGCACGGAGTGAAACAGTGAGGCCCTCCCTACTAACGGCCTCCAGGGCTCTCTGCTCAGGCAAAACGGAGGTGCCTTAAGGATGCCAGGGGGGCAAAAATCACAAGTGAGGAGAGGAACAGATGACACTTCTGCATGTCTTCTGGCTGTATCTCATTCTCCTAAGATGTAGCTCTGCAGAGGAGGGAGGGTAGGAAAGTTCATTCAATAGATTGGGCTGGGACAACAGGTGATTCACGTGGAGAAAAAGAAGCTGGGCCCCTCCCTTACACCATACACAAAAAACAGAAGGATTAAACATTTATTTATTTTTATTTTTTTAAAAGATTTTATTTATTTATTTGACAGCGAGAGACACAGCGAGAGAGGGAACACAAGCAGAGGAATGGGAGAGGGAGAAGCAGGCTTTCCTCCAAGCAGGGAGCCCGATGCGGGGTTCAATCCCAGGACCTCGGGATCACAACCTGAGCTGAAGGCAGACGCTTAATGACTGAGCCATCCAGGCGCCCCGGATTAAAGATTTATATATTTATTTATTAAGATTTTATTTATTTATTTGACAGAGATCACAGGTAGGCAGAGAGGCATGCAGAGAGAGGGGGAAGCAGGCTCCCTGCTGAACAGAGAGCCCTATGCAGGCTCAATCCCAGGACCCTGGGATCATGACCTGAGCTGAAGGCAGAGGCTTAACCCACTGAGCCACCCAGGTGCCCCGGATTAAAGATTTAAATGTGAAGACTAAACCCTTGAAATTTTTTAAGAGAATGCAGAAGAGGGGCGCCTGGGTGGCTCAGTGGGTTAAAGCCTCTGCCTTCGGCTCAAGTCATGATCCCGGGGTCCTGGGATCAAGCCCAGCATCGGGCTCTCTGCTCAGAAGAGAGCCTGCTTCCCCCTCTCTCTCTCTGCCTGCCTCTCTGCCTATTTGTGATCTCTGTCTGTCAAATAAATAAATAAAATCTTTAAAAAAAAAAGAGAGAGAGAGAATGTAGAAGAATATCTTTATGATCATAGGATAAAAAAAGATGTCAAACAAGACACAAACAGTACAAAGGATTAAGGAAAAGATGTATATATTTGTCTATATTAAAATCAAACATTCTTTGTTAAGACATTAAAAAAGGAGGGAAAACAAGCCACAGGCTGGGAGAAGATATAACCAATAAAGAGTACAAACATCCCGGAAAATGATGACAGAAGGGCATGAAACAAGTGCTTGACAAAAGAGACAATGAGCTCGGGGAGGACGTGTGTTGTAATGAGCACTGGGTATTATATACAAGACTGATGAATCACATACCTGTACCCCTGAAACAAATATATGTTAATTATTATAGATAAATTACATGTTAATTATTAAATTTAAATTAAAAAAAGACAATAAGCTTGACCAAAAAATATACAAAAAGATGTTCAACTTCATTAGTAAATAGATAGATGCACATTAACTTGCACTGAGATACTATCTCATATGCACAAGAGTGACAAAAAATTTCAAAGGCTGATAATATAAGCACGGAAGATTCAAAAAAGGAAGTTGTACCCACTGCATGGGATCTGCCAATTAATTCACCTTCTCTGGAAAACAACATGGTGTAATCTTGAATTTGGACATACACTACAGCCTTGCATCTGTACTCCTAAGCAGATACTCTCTAGAGAAACTATTGCAGGAGGCAGGTACAAGAATGTTTGCAACAGCCTGGTTAAAATGGCAGAGAAGTAAAAAGCAATTATTCATGAATAGAAGAATGACAAATACATACACACACACACACACACACACACACACACACACACACATCCATAAAAGGAATACTATATAGCAATGAAAATAAAGGGATCGTATCTTAAAGCATCAACAGAGATACACCTCAGAAAATAATAATGCATGCAAAAAGGTGACAGAAGAACACAGACAGTTGATAGCACTTGGTATATTTCAAAAGTTCACAAAACTTAACAGTATATTCATTTTGCTATATATGAAGTCAAGTTCTGAGGAAAAGCAAGGGAATAATAAGCACACAGCTTAGAATGGTGATCACCCTTGGGGAGGTGGCGGGGGAAGCCATGGGGATGCTAACATGAGGGGTTCTAACAGTACTGGAAGTGTGTTGTTTCTTAAAGCTGGGTAGTGGGTACGTAGATGTTCATTTTTGTCCCTTTTTATACCTAATACACATACTTATCCTTTTATATGTATAAAGTACCTCCATAAAAATAATTTTTAAAAATTTCACATCATGGGCACCTGAGTGGCTCAGTCGTTAAGTGTCTGCCTTCGGCTCAGGTCATGATCCCAGAGTCCTGGGATCAAGCCCCACATTGGGCTCTTGGCTTGGCTGGAAGCCTGCTTCTCGCTCTCCCACTCCCCCTGCACTGTCTCTCTCTGTCAAACAAATAAATAAAAAATCTTTAAAAAAAAAAAAAAAGCACTCAGAAAAAGGTATCTCAGAAAAACTACAGTTATCAGTAACAAAAACTGGGATCTCAACTTACCAGCTTATTAACACGAAGCTTCGAGGAGTTAAATTTGAAGACATCGATTTTCTTATCCAATGGCTTAATAGTAAACTGAAAGAAGGAAGCAGAAAACAGTTTCAGTCTCACAGCCTAGAGTGTGAGCACCAACTGGGAAATTCCACAAAAGCAGCAACCAAGCTGGCAAAGATCCAGCACGGGGCTGTTCTGCCTTGTCCTGGCTTCCTGGTGCCTGGGCACTAAACCATGGTAAATCACAAGCGGCTGAGGGCGCCAAGTCTGGGGCTGTGGAAGTCCAGGATCCTGGAAGGTGTGCTGTCAGCACCATCTTAGGCTTAGGAACCTGAAATGCCAGCCTTCAGTGGGCCCCACTGTGAGGCCAACAAATGGGAAGGCTATTGCAGAGCCGCAGGCCCAGTTCTGCCTTCAGGAAGCTCACCACCTAGCTGGAACCAGACATATGACAGTCAGTTACTCGAGAAATTACATCATCTATTAGTGCCTCATTGGGAAGCACAAATCACAAATGTCATGGGGGTTCCCTCCTACCATAAGTAGGAGGGAAACTTCAGCTGGTCAGACACAAAAAGAGTATGAGAGGGAAGTTAAAAGGTCGGAAGGAGGGCCATTCGGGACAGGGCAAGCAACAGAAATGAGGGGGAGATAAGGAAATGAGTTGTGTGTGTGTGTATGTGTGAGAGAGAGAGAGAGACACACACGTTATTAGCTCTCTGATGACTATGCTGTCATGGGCTCAGACTGGGAGGAAGGCAGGTAGGCTGGGGTTTGATGGGGCAGCACACAGGTCATCACTCCGGGTTCTAAACATGGGGATTCTCAGCTGAAAGCTATTAATAAAAGGAATAAAGTGTGAAGACCAGACTGTGGTAGAAGAGGGAAACTGGTCCTGAAATCAAAGGGGAGAGAAAGCTGAGTAAGGACAGAGTGGTAGCCAAGTAGGAGATCCCAGGACCAGACCGCTAGGCACGGAAGCATATGAAGAACAAATGGCAACTGCTGTTCTCAACCATTCCTGCTCAGACCAGTCGGATCCTCACTTGCAAAGACGCACTGAAAAAAATGAGTACCTATTCCTGAGAAAGATGTGCTAAGCAGATAAATACATCTGTGGAGATAAATTCTTGGGTATGTCTTTCGCATGTTTATTTTGTCCGACGAGGAGTCAGCACACCGAGGAAAATGATCCTTTGGTTAGCTTTTGGTCAAGCCAACTTGGAAGCACTATTGCTTTCGTGTAGGTTATTTGTAAATTTCGTGAGCTTATTTTTGGCTTTGAAGTCAAACCCCGGAGCTGTCAGTGGGAAACCACAAGTAGTGGGGAAACCACAGGCTATGTGCTGGGTCGGGACGTGCACAAAGAATCAATGGATCACTTAAAATAAACCAACATTTCTGTTTTGGCAGCACAGCTGTCATGCATAACTACTAAGACTACTTCCTATTATGTCAAGTCAGCTTGAGGTCCTCTTACTGCCTGAGTTATTGACGTGATGGAACATGATGGCACCCTGCCCCTGGAGAGGGTATATTAGGGTTTATTGTGTCAGGCCGTACTAGGGGAGACTTGAAGACTTGGATTCTGTGAAAAATGAGTGTCTTGGGAGCCTTTAGCACACGAATGCGTGGATATGCAGTAAACAGACTTTATGAAATTAGAGATGAAAAACTACCACGCCATAGCATACCTGCTGCTTTAAGTCACGGGGATCGTTCAACTGAAGTACTTTAAAAAAGAAATACCTAAGTGCTGCTCTTCTGGGCTACTTACAGAAAATTCGAGAGCCAGCATGTTTTGAATTAAGCAGCTCAATCTGTCTCATCAAGCACGGCCGAGGAGATCTCAACCACATTACTGGAAACCAGGAGCCTGGGGTTCCCTTTCTCGAGTTGCTATTAGGGAAGGGAAAACAGGAAATCTGTTCCGGTGGGGGCTCCACACAAGCCGTCACCGTTCCTCACTCCACACTGGCTTCCCAGCTCTGCGGGCGCCAATACGTCACTGAGCACCATCCGGGCCCACTGCCTTCTGCCCAGTTCCCTGTGTTCTCAGGACTCATGCTCTGCACCCTACCCCACCAAAGCCCCCCACCCCACCCCGGGGCCAGGACTTCAGGGAACATGGAGCTCAGCCCCTGCTAGTCCCCTCACAGATCACAGCTTGCCTGATTCCTCCGCAGCTCCGCTCCCTGATACAGCACAGACACCCCAAACCCGGCCCCTTGCTGCATGTTTTTGGGAGAAGGAATCAGAGTTGGGGTGAGAGCACCCGTGAGTGGTAAAACAGAAACGCACTGGGTCACCATCACCTGCACCATCAGTCAGGGCCTTGCTTGACTCTAACATCCCTGAGGGCTGAGACTGGATTTCCTACATCTTTGTTACAAAACCTAACACAAAGCAGATGCTTGATAATTCCTTGAAAATTAACAAAGAACAAACAAGTGAAGAAATGAACATAAGATGACAGTGTTTGGGAAAGGTCACCATTCTGCATTGAAATATCTGACTTCTAACTTAGCATGTTCAGCCAAGTTATTCGAACTAAATTATTCTCAGATTTTCACAAGTAGTTCTGATAGCCTTATTTGTATCATTGCTGTGACACACAGAGACAGACAGGTGGATAGATAGATAGATAGATAGATAAGATAGATATCCCCACATGTATCAAGCACTGGACACTGAGAAAGGACTTAATGTCCCCCACATTTAAATATACACAGCGAATTTCTCACTAGAAATAGCAAGGCAAGTAACAAGAAAAAGTTACTTTCTGGTTTGTTCACTATTCTTTGGAGGTTCTTCTGGACAAGCTGCGCTCCCCAGCCTCTTGTTAGTCAGCAGGAGGGGTTTAGCGATGCCATTTGAATAAAGGATGCTGATACCGTTCTCTAAACAGAAAACAACAACCCCAAACCCAAAGCCTGGGGATTAAAGAATTTTATTGGTAACAAGGAGCAGTCTGGCTGGGGACCGCTACAGCGAGGAGGAGAGACGGGGAAAGCCCGAGAGCGGCACTGCTGGCGGGTCTGCATGTGAAGCACGTCCTACCTCCTTGTCACTGTACGAGATGTTTCGGATTTCATTCCACGGGAAGGAGATCTTGGGGGTCAGCCTGTTCTCAGGGTCATAGATGTGAAGCCCCAGAGCATCCACTCCAAGCAGCAACTCGGTGCCCTTTTTATTCTGTAGATTCAATCAAGAGCAGCGACCGTCAGCTCCAGCGGAAGTCTGAGATTTTATTCAACTTCCCAAAGAACCTGGCACACACTATTATATGTGACAAGTTCCAACAGGTCCCAACAGAAGTCACAGCTGCTGTGTAACCCAGGGGGCCTCCAGCTTCCTGAACTGGGGCAGGCAGAGACAAAATACCATTCTCATGACTCATGTCCTGGAGAGGGATCACAGGGGGCTTCTGTTACCGGCTCGATGGCTTTAGTCGTAGCCACCTAAGCACTGTTACCTCCAGTTAAACACAGTGGTCGTCCCCTGCCCCCTTATCTGTGGTTTGGCTTTCTACGGTTTCGGTTACAAGGTCTGGAGGCAGAGGATTCTCCTTCTGAGTTACTGTCAGGTCAGTAGTAGCTTAATGCTACACTGTAACACCTAAATCAATCACCTCACTTCATCTCATCATGCAGACACTTTATCATCTCACATCATCCTAAGAAGGGTGAGTAGTACAGTAAGATGTTTTAAGAGAGAGAGAGAGAATGCGTTCACATAACTTTTATTAGAGTACAGTTATAACTGTTTTTTATTGTTATTGTTAATTTCTTACATTGTGCCTAATTTATAAATTAAACTTATCACAGGTATGCATATATAAGAAAAAAAGCCATAGTATATATAGGGTTTGGTTCTATTCACAGTTTCAGGCATCCGCGGGGGAGACTATTATAACCAGGTTATCATAGATGTAGAATAAAGACCTGTGGGATTGAATCTCTCTTACAGTAAAAGAAAATGTAGTTGTACTACCAGAAAGAAAAAAAAAATTTTTTTTTTTAAGTAGGCTCTATGCCCAAAGTGGAGCCCAACATGGGGCTTGAACTCATGACCCTGAGATCAAGAGTCGGATGTCTAACCAACTGAGCCACCTAGGTGCCCCACCAGAAAGAAAATTGGTATCAAAGTGCTGGGATCAAATGGTTCTATGTTAAAATGTATTCTCAGTGTGATAAAGCAAATATAGTAAAATGTTAATTAAAGAACTTATAAGTGGGTATATATGGGTATCCACTGTAAAATTCAACTTTCTTATATGTTTGAAATTATTTATAATAGGATGTTGGAAAAAAATATACCAAAATGAATTGTATATAAATGATACCTTGGGGTGCCTGAGTGGCTCAGTCAGTTAAGCATCCGACCCTTGGTTTTGGCTCAGCTCATGATCTCAGGGTCCTGGGATGAAGCCACAGGTAGGGCTCTGTGCTCAGTGGGGAGTCTGCTTGAGATTCTCTCCCTCTCCCTCTGCTCCTCCCACCATGCTCTCTCTCTAATAAATAAACAAATCTTTAAAAAATAAATTATACCTCAATAAAGCTCTATGAAAATTTAACTGCTGGCATACACATTGGTTGGCAGTCAGAGTAGACAGAGGACAAGTGCCCTTCACCCTCAGGTCACTGACCCAGTTATGGGCCTGGAGGCTACCTCCTCAGGCTGGAGGCCCAGTCACCTACGCTGTGTAGTGTGTCCCTTGTGTGGTGGTGGAAGGAAGCTCCCTGCACAAGGACCTAAAGCGCCTGACCCGTTGCTGACAACTAGGACATCGAACCAGTTTCAAGGACAGCAAAACAGGTCTGCAAACCAAGAAGGTGCTCAGACTGTGATGAGAAGGACCAATCGAAGAGCAGGGGTCAGGTGGACAAGTGAGTGCTCCAAGATGTATCTTTTAGTCCTTCTAACACTCAATTCAGGCGCTCTTACCAAACACTAAAAGAGATTCCTCTTAGTCTGCAAAGCTCTTAAAAGTACTGCATTTACATAAGTGAGGCTTTGTACTTTTAAGTGCTACAGTACATTTTGGAAAAGGAGAGATTTCATTACATTTGTGCCTGGTTCAAATTATTTTAAAAAAAGGGTTCTACCCTTCGATTCCTATCATGACCCCCAACACTTCTACAGAATAAACAGAGAGGCAAGGCTCAAGCAGTCTCTTCAATTGTTTTAAGCACTTAAGTTCCTTAGTTGATGTGAAATCACAGGAACTTGAACACAAAAGATACTAAAATATCTATCGGCTGTGTCTACTGTGTAACACAAAACACACACACACTTGTGTATTTTAGTCTGACTGCTGTAGAAATATTTCCTAATACACTGTTTTTTAAGGGCTGTAAAACACTACTTTTCTAAAATCTAGATGGTGGACATATGGGCCAAGAGGAGTTATGTTGCCAAAACCACAGAAATGTGTTAAACTAGCCTGCCCTTAAACAAACCAGACAATTAACAAATAGAAATTAGTAAAACTTAAGAAAATAACCTTTTGCATTATTATCAAAAATCTTTTAGGCACTTGTTTACTATGTGAAATAACAAAAATTGCCAGTGTAATTTTATACAAACTAATCCGTTTTTTATAAGTCTGTATTTAGAAAACAAATCAGGGGCACCTGGGTGGCTCAGTGGGTTAAAGCCTCTGCCTTTGGCTCAGGTCATGATCCCGGGGTCCTGGGATCAAGCCCCACGTTGGGCTCTCTGCTCGGCAGGGAGCCTGCTTCCTCCTCTCTCTCTGCCTGCCTCTCTGCCTACTTGTGATCACTCACTGTCTGTCGAATAAATAAATAAATAAATCTTTTAAAAAAAAACATACAAATCAGGTAGAAAGCTATTATTTAAAATGTATTACAGTTTACTCAAATTTCATACAAAATCTTTTTTAAAGATTTTATTTATTTGACAGAGAGAGCACAAGCAGGGGGAGCAGCAGGCAGAGGGAGAAGCAGGCTCCCGACTGAGCAGGGAGCCCGATAGAGGGCTCAATCCCAGGACCCTGGGATCATGACTTAAGCTGAAGGCAGATGCTTAACCCGCTTTGCCACCCAAGTGCGCCTCATACAAAATTTTTGCAACCCAAAAAAGGTAAGCAAACCATAACTATGGTAAGAAAGGTGGACCACAGGGGCACCTGGGTGGCTCAGCTGGTTAAGCATCTGACTTCTGATTTTGGCTCAGGTCATGATCTCTGGGTCCTGAGATAGAGGACCAACCCCACCCCACCCCAACTCCCCGCACTCTCTGCATTGGTCTTGGAGTCTGCTTAAGATTCTCTCTCCCTCCCCATCCACCTCCCCACCCTAAAAAAAAGAAGGACAAAAGGAAGGAAGGAAGGAAGGAAGGAAGGAAGGAAGGAAGGAAGGAAGGAAGGGGAAGGAAGGGGTGGGGAGGGAAGCAGGCCAGCCACTGTGGGCCACTGTTCAACATCTACTTATCTGCAGTCTGGAACCAGCAAAGGAATGGCTGAGCCAATGGCCTGAATTCCTTTAGAGGGAGCTTGTAGGTCCTGCATTTAGCAGCAGAACCTTGGGAGAAAGACGCTGAAGGGGCCCACCCAGCCAGGACTGAAAACTGAAGCCTCTGGTACAGAAGCAGTGGGTTCCCAGAGGACAGTGGGACTATTAATGGTCGGAATAGAAAACCAATTAGCCTGCTAGTAAGGAGAGTCCCACCCACAAATCAGTAATCTATAAAAGCAGCTTTACTCTCCTTGTGCTCTGGAGGAAGAAAGTATTTACAGGTGCTCCCTGTGGGCCAGATCTCACAGAGCCAGAAATAATCAAACATTACACTCAGAGCATTCAAACAGGTTTCTGCTGAGCACCGGACCAGGCCCAAGTCCCCCTGGGGGCTCAACCGACACTTAATTATCAAGGATCTAATTAAAGTCCAAAAATAGAAAATGAGGCTGTAAGACCCTCTCCCCTTCCTCTTCTCTTGTCCTCCACTGAACCATTAAAGAGTGTCACTCTGGAATAAGGAAATAACCCACTTTAGCTGTCTGCCTCCGATTCAGTCTCTGTTTCTACACAGGGAACTCCAAGGGGCTTCAACACACCCGGATTGCAAAGTAGTTCACACCGTACATCTCCAGGTCCTGAGCTATCTTCAAATATTCCATTTCAGCTTCGTCCCTGAGAGAAGAACGAAAGACAGTGTCACCAGAGCTAAGTGAGAAAACAGAGGGCGGGTGCACGCCAACCTGCACGCTGGAACACGCCAGCCAGTGCAGACACCAACACGGCTCTTCCGAGCCCTGAGTCTATGAAATACACTGAGGTCAAGCAGAATTTCCCATCCCCATAAAAGCCAGAGAACAGATTCATTACAGCATCTCTTGGCTTCAATTTCACGCTTTGCCCTTGGTAAATAATGACACCCGGCTCAAGGATTCAAGAAAAGCACGTGGTGTTATGTTCTTCCCTCGAATGGATTTGTACATGCAGATGTGATTTAAGTTGTTGCTTTATCTGATCGTGAACTTTCTTCACCTAGGTTTTGGTATTGAAACAATTCTCTCTGCAGGCTACCTGAGAGCTACCTTCCTGATTTCATTTCTTTGGGTGTTGTCAGAGGTCAGGCCAAGAGCTATCTGGGCTGTAAAACTCAAGCCATGTCACCTACTTGTAAGCTGTGAGTCAAATTTAAAGTAAGCTCTTAAAGCAGCAATGACTTGCAGAAAACTCCCAAATAAATATACTCTTGAAATATTTTAACTGGATCTCCTGATGACCTTGCCTCTTCCCTCTCTCCAGTCTCAAAATGCTCTCAAATGAATTTTTAAAAAATTCTGAGAGAACACACAGTGTTGGCAAGCATGTGGAGCAACTAGAAATCACACACACTGCTGATGTAAATTGGTACAATTACTCTGAAAAGCTGTTTGCTGCTATTTATAAGAGCAAAAACCAAGAGACAGCCCGACACCCTCAAGGTCCATCAACAGTGGAGTGGACAATTCATGCTTTAATATAGTGGAGTTCTGAACAGCAATGAAAATGAGCATTTCACTGCTGTTACATACTACAAACCCGAATCTCACAATATGATGAGTAAAAGAAGTAAGACACAAAAAATAGAGGTTGTCCCCCCGCATTCATGTAAAGCTTAAAACAGGTACCACTACTCTGTGGAGTTAGGGATCAGAAGAGTGGTTAGCTTTGGGGAGGAAGGATGTGGAGTTATGGCTGGTGGTGGGGGGTGTCACATGCTATCTTGTCACCTGGTGTTACACAGTGTTTTCACTTTGTGATAATTCACTGAGTGGTATGTTTATGTATTGTCCACTTTTCCCTATACATACTAGGAAGTTGATTTGAAGAAGAGGAAAGTATTTTAAAGGCTAATGAAAAGATGATCAATTCCTACAGTGATCAGGGAAATGCTACCAAATACTTAAGATATATTATCTCATCTTTTAGATTACAAAAATTAGATTGATAAAAATGAGTGTTGGGAAGAGAAACGGGGGAGGAGGGAAGACACGCACATACACTGCTGGTAGGCAGGTAGATAGGTACGACCTTTACCAAAGGCGATTTAGTGGCACCTGTCAACACAAAATGCTCACATCCTTTGACTCAGCAAGTCTTGTAAAGAATGTATCCTCAGAACTACTCATCTAATTATATAACAATATTAGACTGTATACTGCAGGAAGCAAAAATCTATAGCTACTGCAAATGTCATCAGTAGAGGAACAGACCCAAAAGCTATGGGATATCCATACACTCTAATTCTTAACATGAAACTGAGTCACCAGTGGAAGCAGTGGGGCTGTACATCTGGACAGGCTGTGCTCCTGCCTATCTTACACCATATGCGCTAGAGGGAGGACACACACAAAACTGAAGGCCAGCTCTCCCTTTTCCTTCTAACTACCTCGGGTACTGCCTTTTGTTCAACAAGCATGTCCTAATTTTGTAGTTCTTTGGAGGAAAAAAAAAAAAAGCCCATATGGAACTGTAAACCGATAATGCAACAGCCTCACCTGGCTCGTCCTCTGTGCTCTGCGTACCAGGCTGTAATTCTCTCCTCCCACATTTCTGGAGTCATTTGATACAGATTTATTACCTACCAAAAAATAGAGCAAAATAAAAAACCCACACACAAAAAAGTTTGGGTATTGTTTGCCATTTTTATAATTATGCATCATTTTTACTTAACAGCAAAGCTATTTATTACAAAGCCACATACAGGAAGAGCCAGTCACATTGCAGGGGTGGGCGTGTAAACAAGCGCCATTCAATTTGAGTCACAACTGAGAAGGGTGCACCCTTCCTCGGGCCTAGGTGCACCCCTCACCCAGCTGAGGCCCCTCTTTCCCGGGCTGCATGTCCCAGAGGGAGGAGCTCAGCCAAGCGGAGTGTGCTGCTGCCTCCTCCCGCAGGAAAGCCATCAAAGGACCAGGGAAAGTCAGGGAAAGGTGAGAAGCAGGGCTTCACTACACAAGACAGATGAGTGGGGCTATAAAATCAGGAGGAGTCAAAGGGTGGGAAGGCCTGCTTCTGTGGCTAATGAACAAGATGAACAGCACCAAGGATTAAAAACTACAATATCCCCCAATTCATCTTAACCCCCCCGCCCCTCTGCAAACAGCTCAGCTCTCTGGGCGGAAGGCAAGCTGCTGCACTCTTCCCTAGGAATCACATTCAAGGCCCTGCCAGCTCTGGCAACCGCAAATGGACTCCATGAACCTTTGCTTTTTAATATTCTGAACAGAGACTCTACATTCTTTACTCAAGACTCATTACAAAATATTTATTTAAATGATTTCGCCGTGTACTTCCAATATTCCTTCAAGTCCCTCAGTTAGCTTTTTCATAGACCACATCTCTGCTGTGTTTTCCCAAACAGGGGATTGATTTCTTACCCTTTTTGGAAGCAATTCCTCTTGGGCCAAAAATCCACGCTTATGAACAGAGGGGTCGTAGTCACCGTACTGGAAGAAGAAAAGGAGGGCAAGCGATTAAGATTCTAGAGACAACTGCCATTTCTGAAAAAAGCTTGACTATGTCTTATCCCCTCCTGGCTTGGGGAGCAATTCTGTTCCAATTCAGTTCCGATGACAAATCAAGATTTCAACCTTGCTATTTTGTTATCCTTGAATGAAAATACAAAGCTGATTATATCTATGAACAGAGTTGCATAATCCCATGAGGAATGGATGGGTGATGTGCTTATGTGACATTTGTATGGAAATGTAGCTGTTTTCTAACCCACAAAGAAAGCAGTCACTGCCAAAACATTAGCTTTTGAAAGGAAATAACAAAACACAACTGTGAAAGTTGTAATTAGCAATGTGTGATAAGAGTCTTACCTACAAATCCTTCTAAGTGGCTGGTAATTGGAGCCAATTCTAGGTTGGGAGTTGGTAATAACGCAGGCAATAGTTTTAATACCTTTTATTCAGGCTCTGAAAAGTGCTTTGGAGAAATCTGATGCCAACGTTGTCATTCCCATTGTAAAGACAAAGAAATGAGTCAAAGGTTTAAGGAGTCAAAGGTTAACTGATTTTCCCAAAGCTACAGAGCAAGTCACTACCAGGGCCAGAAATGGGCCCTGTATTTGAAGGTACCCACCATTTAGGGATAATAACTTGGAAATTCACTTTGTGATTTAAGAAAAAATATCCCTCTCTTTCCGAGAAAACTTAAGTCTGACCAGGAAATAATAAAAAATGAAGGCATCTTTAGCTCTTTCTTTTTTTTCAGAGAGAGAGAGTGTGCATGAGCTTGCAGTGAGGAGGCGGGGAGCAGGGAATCTTAGGTAGACTCCATACCCAGCACTGGCCCAACACCGAGCTCAGTCTCACAACCCTGAGACCATGACCAGAGCCAAAATCAAGAGTCAGACACTTAACTGACTTAGCTTCCCAGGCGCCCCCTAAAATAAAGCCATTTTTTAGAAGAAATTATAAACATATAAATGTAAAATCAAAGCTTATCTCTTGGGATAGAACAATGTTTATCAGCAACTTTAAACTGTGCCTCATTCCCATACAGTGCTAAAAAAAGCACTGTAAGTTTAATGTTTTTTAAGAATCTACGGGGGGCGCCTGGTCGGCTCAGTGGGTTAAGCCTCTGCCTTCGACTCGGGTCATGATCCCAGGATCCTGGGATCGAGCCCCGCATTGGGCTCTCTGCTTGGCAGAGAGCCTGCTTCCCGCCCCCCGCCCCTCTGCCTGCCTCTCTGCCTACTTGTGATCTGTCAAGTAAATAAATAAAATCTTAAAAAACAACAACAACAAAAAAAGAATCTATGGTGGGGGGGCCTGGGTGGCTCAGTGGGTTAAGCCTCTGCCTTCGGCTCGTGTTGTGATCTCGGGGTCCTGGGATCGAGCCCCGCATTGGGCTCTCTGCTCCTCGGGGAGCCTGGTTCCTCCTCTCTCTCTGCCTGCCTCTCTGCCTACTTGTGATCTCTCTCTATCAAATAAAAAAATAAAAATCTTAAAAAAAAAAAAGAATCTCATCATTATCTTTCAAATAGCAGAACTGTACCACATCATTTTTTGTGTTAAACCAATTAATTTACCAAACTTAAATATTTAAAATATGCCAGTTTCTGTACCCCTGTCTAGGCACGTCATTTAAAAAAACCTGAAGGAACCTGGCCTCTCTTGATCTCCCAAAGGCCTGAGGGATGTGATGAGTTAAGTAACTAGATGGAGTTTTAAGGGCACTCTCTTGGGACGGAGCTGCAGGACACAGGTAGGAGCCTGACTCTGGAGGCAGGATGCGAAAGGTTCAGTCCCAGCTTTTCCACTTATCAGCTGGGACCTTGGAAACTTTTGTGTCTCGGTTTTTTCATCTGTTAAGGGGGATAATAACAGTATTTGTCTTATAGGACTTTGGGGGATTGAATGAAATAATACCGATTATTAAATTAAACTTGTGAAAATATGCTTGATACACAACACTCAATACAACCTGATATCAAAAGACAAAAACTCAGATTGTATTACCTCTGAGTCTGTTTCCTCATCCGTCATATAAGAGCGTCAGTCTTAGCGGATTTTGAATGGGGAGCTGCTCTGGTATCCCTCAGAGGCCTTGAGTAAGGATTCCTCTCTCTCAACTTCAGCTTTCTCATCTGGAAAGCCAGGGTCATAAGCATGGCTGCCTCATAAGAGGGTGACGAGGATGAAGATGATCTGGAGAAGCATTTTCCATACTGCCTGGCTCACGTAAATGTACTAGTGTTACCCTCTGCATTATTTATGACATTGGTCACTGTTTGCCTCTCTGATTTCTGAAGGGGTAGGATGCTAACGCAAGCCCTTGTTAGTCGCATTTGCAAACCTCTTAATGGTGCTGACCAAACTCTAAATGCAGAAGAGTAAGCAGATATGCAAAGTTAAAGTTGTAAATTCAGGTTTCAAAGGCTTACAAGATTAACGACCCACATTATCATACTGAGCTCCCAGCTACTTCAGTGATCAAATGTTGCACATCTGAGCAATGCAGAGGCAGCAAAGACCCTGCTTAAAGAACTTCCGCCACTAGACTAACTCCACTTAAAACTTTTAAAGCCACCTCGATGCTTGTGTCTGCTCTCAAATGTCTCTTTAAAAAACAAAAGAAGGAGAAAATCCTTAAGTGGTGGCAGTTGGTTAATACAAAAGAAAGTCATACCACTCCATAGACAGAGATGGCTGTTCCTCATCCTTGCTGCACAGATACAGTCTGATAACATAACCAGAAGTGAATTTATTTATTTTTTATTTATTTTTATTTCTTAAAATATTTTATTTATTTATTTGACAGAGAGAGACACAGTAAGAGGGGGAACACAAGTGGAGGAGTGGGAGAGGGAGAAGCAGACTCCCTGCTGAGCAGGGAGCCCAACGTGGGGCTCGATCCCAGAACCCTGGGATCATGACCTGAGTGTAAGGCAGACACGACTGTGCCACCCAGGCACCCCATAACCAGGAGTGAATTTACTTTGAAACTAATGAAGTTTGGATTTGAGGTCTCTGCACCTGTGTGGGCTTGACCCTAATTTTATATTCACAATTTGGTATTCTTGCATTGAAAAGAAGACCCCTAAGTTATATCAATGTCAGGCCCCACAAAACCTGGATCCACCCCTGATATAAACCAACTGAATTTAAATTCAAGAAGGGAGTTCACCATTTAAAGGACTCTTGAAGTCAATTCTTAGGTTAAACAGATGCTCTTTCTGGTTATGAAATACTATCCTCTGCCAAATACGTGGAATATCAGACCAAATGCTCTGAACAGGATTTCAGAAATCTTTTAAGATTTGATCAATACATACGCAGAGTAAATAGTTAGATTCCTACCCACGCACCTGTCTACTAAATTCCAGGTGGATTAAAGATCCAAACCTATAAATGAAAATCCATAAAAATACCAGAACAAAATACAGGGCATGTGTATAACAACGGCTGGTGAAACCATTCTAAAATCACTCAAAACACAAAAATATTGACAAGTCTGATATGTGTAAGAAAAGACAAAAAGTTAACACTCATACTATATGGCACTCCTATAAATCAATTAGAAAAAGATAAACAATACAGTATAAAAATGGGCAAGCTGTAAACACTTGATGCACAGAGGAAAGAAATACAGTCACCAGTAAATCTGTGAAAAGATTCTCAGCCCACACGGTTATCAGGAAATAAATACTTAAAAAAACAAAAACAAAAAAAACTCTTTTTCTGTCAGAATAGCAAAAATTTTGAAAGACTGATAGTATCCACTGTTGATGAGGATGCAGAAAAACAGGTATTCTCACATGCTGTTGTTAAAGGTTAAATTAGGACAAAACTTTCCGAGGACAATTTGGCCATACATATTTAATGTTTTTTATTCTGATAAATACACAAAACTCACCATTTTAAGCAAACAATTCAGTGCATTTTAGGATATTCAAAATGTTGTACAACCATCACCACTCTAATTACAGAATATTTCTATTTCGCCAAAAAGAAATCCCATACCCATTAGCAGTTAAGTCCTGATTTCCTCCTCCTTCCAGCCCCTAGCAACCAGTAAATCTACTTTCTGTCTCTATGGATTTGCCTGTTCTGGGCATTTTATAGAAGTGGAATCACACAATAGGCACCTTTTGTGTCTGGCTTCTTTCATTTGGCATTATTTAAATTTTAAAGGTTCTTATCCTTCGGCCCAGTTATGCCATTTCTTGGTATTCATCCTAGAGAAAGACTGTTCATATGTGCCCAAAGAGGCATATGCAAAGATGTTCGCTTCATTCATTTAAATAATAGGAAGAAAAACAAACCTACATATCTACCAATAAAGAGACATTTAAATAATCCAGTCCCTCCTTTTCAGGAAATACTGTTCAGTAGTTTAAAAATGAAGTGGGACGATCTCTTTTGATAGTTTTCAGTAAAAATGACAGCTGTATGGGAGTTCCTCTAGAGTAGCCAGAGGAACTAGAACCAGAGCTAGAAGTGGGATTTCAGGGACTCGGAGATGGGGTATCCCCTCTTCTGATGGGTTCTTACTGCATCCATCGCTCTAAAGAGGTCATGCCAGTTCATAGTCCTTTTCCACCAGCACACGAACTCAAACGATGCTCTCCTATTTACAAATCCTTGTCAACCTTATGGGTTTGAAATGGTATGTTAGTCTTGCTTTTAATTTTTCTTTTTCTTGAGTACCAGTGAGATTGAACATCTTTTTGTATTTACTGACCATTCTCATGTTCTCTTCTATAATGTACCTGTTATGCATGCCCTTTGTACCCACTTTTTTTGCTGTCTTTTTCTCATATACTCAAGAGTTCTTTATATTCAGGGATATAGCCACAATTCTGCTAGTAGAAATCAACCTTAAGCGGAGAAAGCTTTTGCACATGTACACAAGGACTCATATAAAAAGATTTTCAGTAAAGCACTGTTTATGATAGGAGGAAAAAGGAGGAACTAAACCTACCTCTTCCTTAAAGGGGGGATGGATCAGTAAATTATGTTTACTCATCAATGTCCACCACATAACAATTAAGATCAACGTACATCTACACATACAACATAATACATCTCAAAATCAATGTTGAGTGGGGAAAAAATATCAATGTCTAAAAGCACAAGCCAAAAAAGGGGGGAGGGATATGCAAAGTATAGCACCATTTATATTCAACTTTTACATCCTGGATATTTTTTCAAGTTGGTCTCCTCCCATCCAACTGAACAATGCCTGAGGTGTGACCCCAGAACCTCTTACCAGTTCGACCACCATATAGCCTTCTAACAGGTCTCCCTGCTTCCAAACCTGCCTCACTCCAATCTGTCCTTCACAGAGCAACCAAAGGGTCTGTCTAAAATATGAACCCTTCACTGGCTCTGTACCACCCACATGATCAAGTTAAGACCTGTTCATAAGACTTTATGATCTGGCCCCTTATAGACCTCTCCAGCCTCAACTCTTGCCACTCTTCACCTATACTTTACATATACCCAACTTTTTTTTTTTTAAGATTTTATTTATTTATTTGACAGAAAGAGATCACAAGTAGGCAGAGAGGCAGGCAGAGAGAGGAGGGGAAGCAGGCTCCCTGCTGAGCAGATAGCCAGTTGCGGGGCTTGATCCCAGGTCCCTGAGAGGATGACCTGAGCCAAAGGCAGAGGCTTAACCCACTGAGCCCTGCAGGTGCCCCTATACCCAACTTCTTAATTGCCTTTTGACACTCTGTCCCTAACTGGCATCAAAGAGTACCAAGAAACACTAAGCCTCTTTTCCCACCATTCATTTCTCTCTCTGAACCCTAGGAGTCTATAGGCTAGTGCTACATAGAACTCTCTCCCAAAGTCATTTTTAATAAGAAAACATTTCAAACACCAAAATCCAACAGGTGGCTTAAAATATTGCAAGATGGTTTGCTGTGTCATGTCACTGGACCCAAAAAAACCCCCCAAAAAACAAAAAACAAAAAACCCAACAAAACCCAGCTCAGACATTTGATTCAAACATTCAAACATAACTCAAACTCTAACCAAGAAATACGGTTCTTGTTAACTGAACCATGTGATTAATATTTGTATTTATACTTTGAGGGTAATTGTTTCTTTATGTCTTGGAATTAGCTGTGTCTGTATCATTCGAACAGCTGAAATACTGTAATGAATACATTTGTGCATAATTACATTCCATGTGTTAATGAGCCCGATTCCCTTTCCGCAACCACACTTCTAAAGTTCCTTTCTGTTTCAGAAAGGTTGTGGAAGAAAACAAACTGAATATGATGGAAGGAAACCAGTATGGTTTGCTGGAAAGTTTGGACTTATGTGACCCTATAAATGAATCTGGAATTTGGTACGAGGCAGTGCGTGCTTCCCAGAGACTTCCCTCACACACTACCCAGGGAGGCAAGAGCCGAGTGCTGAGTTAGGCAACCGGATGTTAGGGTTCTCATCCTGGCTCCACTCTCACGTTCCATTCTGTTTCAAATCCTGTCCATCAAGAAGTGGGCTATAGGGGCGCCTGGGTGGCTCAGCGGGTTAAGCCGCTGCCTTCGGCTCAGGTCATGATCTCAGGGTCCTGGGATCTAGTCCCGCATCGGGCTCTCTGCTCAGCAGGAAGCCTGCTTCCCTCTCTCTCTCTCTGCCTGCCTCTCTGTCTACTTGTGATCTCTCTCTGTCAAATAAATAAATAAAATCTTTAAAAAAAAAAAAAAGAAGTGGGCTATAAATTCCATTAAAAAGGAATTAACATAAAGTATTATGACATTAGACAAATTACTAATCCTTTCTGAGCCTTCAATTCCTCATCTGCAAAACGGGCATAATAGTCTCAAGCTGCAGCTCATGGAAAAGACTACACTGAGTACCACACGAAATATTCATGTGTAACAATCTGTAAAACTGTAAAACATTACAGGTGTGTCAGATCGTATTAATACTGTAATCAGAGGCAACTTTGTAATATTAACCAACAGTCCTAGAAACCGGAAGCAAGCTATAATAATCTTTTGCAGACTTGAAGCCATAGATTACCTTTATTTGTAAGATCCTGAAAATTTACACCGGAAAAAACAGTTAGAACATCCTCCTCCATATGAACCACATATGCTGTCTGTGAATCACTTTCATCTCTAAATTAGTCGGATCCAAATTAGTAGGGCTTTCCTACAGTGAAATCTGTTTAAGCAAACATCTGCTGGTTCCCTGAAAAGTTGTTTTTTTTTTTTTTCCACAGGTGGCCTTTGAATTTGTGGCCCAAAATCCATGCAAAGGAAATGTAGCCTTTGAGGCTGAAGCCCTTCAAAGAGAGGTAATGTCCTTGAGAGTTTGGGTCTCCTCTCAGCTGGGGAGAAAGCGTGCTAAACAGGAACTCGGTTCTGGGCCAGGAAGTGCTCGGATTTGATGAGAGTGACAATGACTGCTTCATCACTGTCAGGGCAATACTGATTGAAAGGACACATTTTTCCTGTTATTAATATTCTTAATCAAAGCATAAAAGGAAGCATATGTTTTAGTTGAATCAAGGCCCATTTTCTGTTTTTTCAATTACTCATTTTTCTGGGCAGCAGAAGAGGGGAGGCACAAAACACAATCCCAAAGCCATGAATTCTGCCCTTAGCTTTACCCAAGATTGTCCAAATGACCTTGGGCAAATTGCTAAGAGCAGATACTCGCTTTTGTGTCTGTATCTGTGACAGAGTCAACAATCCCTCCTCAGGCCTGATGAATACTCAGCAAATATTAGACGAGTCATCAAATCATTGAATTGATTCTGGTGCTTCTGTTAGTCTAACCAGCATGAACAGACTCTTTCCCCCACCCCCAAATGACAGGCCAGTCATTTCCTGGCTTTGATCTGAAATTTTATTAAGCTACCCTAAAGAAGTGGGCTAAGAAGTTAAGAGTGTCTTACTAATTTTTATAACGCCCCAGGGAAATGGCTTTGTGGACACCTCTAACAAAAAAGGAAAATAAAAATGGAAAAGATTATGCAAAATCACAAAAGTAATGAAAGTGCCCCAATTCTGGGGACCTTTCCTTATGCTGCCGTGGGAGGCAGGAAGCAGCAGAACCAAATACACGGGCAATACCTGAGGGATGTGAAGCGCCCCTGAATGACCCTGCAGTTGGTCTTTTTTTTTTTTTTTAACTTTATTTTTTTTTTACATTTTTTTTTTTTTTGGAGTTGGCTTTATGAAAACAGAGACGATAAAACACAAGAGCGGTGTGATCCTTCACCACAACTCCCAATCCGTGGTGACTTCTTCTCTGTGAATGACACCACGGCAGCTCCACTGGGCTCAGGGCATCAAGGGGCCTGCCGTACCCAGCCAGGCAAGCGTGCCCGTCAGGGACCGATGAAGGAGGGCATTCTCTAGGCATTAGGGTGGTTCCCGCATATAGGGTGGCTGGTCCTCGAAAGATGAGTTTGGGGCCTTTCTGACCTAAAGGCTATAGTGGGGTCCGAACTGGAGACCATAAGTTCATTTTCCCTGGCTAATAAAAAGTCCTGTGCATAATGAGATTACACGGACAGACAACTCCCCAGAATTCTCACAAGATTACACAGAATCTGGGACAGGGATAATGGTTTCCCCCAACCCATAAGCCCTAAACCTCTCCCTCCCAGGGAAAGTTTCTCTGAAGCCTAGAAAACCCAAAGAAACAAAAGACGGCAGTGATTCCCATGACACACATTAATGCCAAGGAGGGAGGCACTTGCCTTCTTCGAGCCTACCTTGGCCTGGACGGCGTAAGAAGCCAGGAGCACAGAAGCCTCGGGAGGGCAGTAGATCTTCTCATCTAAAATCTGCTTCTTTACCTAAAAGGGGCAACAAGGGAGACATGACACTGTGTGCGTGGAAGTGAGCTGTGCATGCTGGTCACGGCAGATGGCTGCAGGGTGTTCTAACGAGGGCTGCCAACCCAGCCTGTTAATGATTTTCTGACAAAGGGTACAATTTTTTTATTGCTGCAGACAGGTTGGGAGTTCAGGGACTGAGAAGTTATTGGTAAGATGACTACGCATAAGAAAAACCCTTATCTCTTCTGTTCCTGATCAAATGCTGAAGAGGAAAAACACTTTTCCGTGGTTAAAACAGAGACTGATCTCGGGACTATGACAGAGGGGAGCTGTGAATTCGGGAAGTGTGAGGAGCAGCTCTGGTGGAGATTGTGGCCTCGGCCCCTGCTGAGCGCACACAGGAGGAAACGGAGTCTACTTTAAAGTCTTAACATAAGAGAAAAGTCAGCAAGGCCACTGAGTTATGACTGCAGGGGGGGAAAAAAGTCTATCACATTCAAAATGCCTGCTCTAAGGAAAAAGGAAGCAATAAAGTTTGATTGATTAAACTTTTAAGTACATATGAGGTCCAGGAAATATAATTCTTAAGCTATAATGTCGAATTAACATATCTCATTGCATTTAACTTCTTAGAATGGGGCAGCGTGTGATTTTCCAGACACGGAGACAATGAGAGCCTCACCAAGTGGGGACACTGAAATAAACACAACAGGAAAGCCAACTTCCTTGTCACAGATGTCAAGACTCACCAGATTCCTAAGAGTAGTAAATTTTGCCTTGCTCAGCCACGAAAACACTCCAGTTCTTCAGTATGAGGGAAAATTAAGCCAAAGTCACATGCGGGATGGGCACTGCTTCTAAGGAAGCACTAATAAGAAAACCATCTCTGCAACGCTAGCGCGTTCTGGGGCCTAGGAGATCATTATGTGGTTTTAGTCAAAGCAGTGCAAGTTCCTAACCCCCTGGTTTCTTTTCAAAGGGGGAAAAAATCCACACTACAGAAAAACTGCAAGGGTGTCCCTTTGAAGGAAAATGTCAGGGACAGGGATGCATGCATATATGTGTGTATATGTAAATATATATGCACTTGTGCATTTTTTTGCAAAATAAATTATTTGGGGGTTTTACTACCTTTAACTTAATATTTACTGGACGTAACAATCCGAAGCTCAAACTAATTATGCGAGGACTCTGTGACAACACACATATATCCACTTTGGGAAGTCACATAACTAACGCCCCGGGCAGTCTTCTCTGTTACTGACAGCAGGCACCTTTGGGCACACGGGCAGCTCCAGCATCAATCACTACAACTACCCATGAAACCGGGGCAGCGCTCTGATCAAGCAGTAAGAACACCAGCAAAACTGACAGGGTTTTCATCCTCCCACTAAACCCCACTCACTGTGCCCCCAACGGCCAACCAGCAGTCTTTGAACCCACAATTACAGAGCTCCGCCTTTCTTCAATTCGGTTGAGCAGTTACTTCTGGAATGCCTACTGGGCACTCGATGAGCCTTGCCTGTAAGGGGCTTACACTCTAATGAAGGAGCGGGAGACGAATAAGACATTTATAGACAATGGGCAGCATGAAGCACAGTGTTTGAAGTTCTACCATGTGTGGGATTAGCCACATGGAGTTAAACTCCAACTTACTGGCATTGTGAAGTCCTGTCTCAATGACAGCAGATTTCAAACTTTCGGAAGAACTACTTTTTCTAAGACCCTCTCTTTGGACTTCCTTTGTCACTCCTAGGTACTTTCCACTCAGTGACAAGAAAAGAGGATCCATCCTCAAAGAGGCTTCCGGTCAGGTACCCCTTCGTATGTCACCACGGTTTTGCCATCTCCTCGGACACCCATCCACATCACTCGAGCTTAGCTCTAGCCTGAAGACTCTTCCCCCTCACTATGGAACCAAACGGACTGCCTTCCCAGAGGCAGAACATCTTCACACTGCAAAGGCGTCTGTGGTCAACTCTGAGGGGGCCATCCAGGCTGCCCTGGTGACCAGGCCTGGGGGAGTTCTTGCAGAATGAGCAGGACTAGCATGCACTTGTGTACCTGCAAGAAGAAGAGATGCTGCGTGATCTCCTGAACCAGCTCCTCCTCTGCATTCTCAGGATAAAATTTGGCCAGGAAGTGAAAAGTGACCGGCTCTTCCTTTGAAACATCATGATCCAGTACCTGCGCGGTTACAGAGCAAAGGAAGAACAAGCTATGTTGGCACCTGTTTTCCTCCCCTGCCACCACCAAAGAGCCTTTTGCAGGGAGCATATAAATATTTTTCCCTCTCTAAATTCATCACGTTTCCCAAAGGTTATGATCTTACGGTTTGAACCATTCACAAAGCCATCTATAACAAGGGGGAATGTTCACCTCCCATGGCGTTTCTGAACCAAATTAATCAATATCCCCGAGGGGTGAGTGTAACTGAGATTATTAAGGCACAGATGTTCTCAAGGCCACAGAGATAGTTAAGAACTAGAAATTTTTAGCTCAAAGGTATTGGGCACTATCCTTTAAAGTAGGATGAAGGGTTTTTTAATTTTCTAAACTCGTGGACTCTTCCTTTTTTTTTTCTTGCTGCCAACCCCCAATAGGTCCATATTGGGAGGGAGCTTAGAGATGATGGACCTTATCTTTGTGAAATCCCCTAAACATTAAGTGAGCAACAAAAGACAAATGTGTCCGTGGTGGCAACCCTTTGCTTTAAGGAACCTCTAGAGATGCCCTACGAAATACTTGAGCACAGTCAGTAAACCATGCTGCCTTTAACCTTCCAACAATTTCATCCACCCACTGAAAAGCCTGAACCATCTGCTCTCCAGAATGAATTTCATTTCAGGACATAAACATGCCATGTGACAGGCTACAAGGCTCCATTAACATGTGTCATAATTTATTTCCTTTGAGCAGCAAGGTTCCACGGCTCCTGATGCCCCCAATCTAATATCCATTTGGCCAACACTCAGGTATGATTTAAAATTTACTTTGCGAAAGAATCACAAAAACATACAGAAAATTCTGCTGTCTTAGATAGGTAGTTCTTTGTGCCCCTACCCAAATTCCAGGGGGCAATGTCCAAGAGACCCACAATAAACCAGATCTAGCACATGCTCACTGACATTGGCACATGGTGGCACTCTGATGTTCATGATCGTTGGCAATTACCATATGAAATTTATAACCAGCGGAGAGTCCAACATGAAGATTCAGATTACTGTGTACATATGGAAACACAATTTGAACATTTGAGCTTAGAGTCAAACTTGTAAAAAAAAAAAAAAAAAGGAGGCATTCATTGTCTATCATGCCATGCAGCGGATGATAAAAATTAATTGCAGATGGTACCATTTGGGGTAAGGATTAGACACTGACTTACTTTGAGAGGGGTCTTTTAGTGGTTACTAACAAAACCAAATGGCCCCGTTCCCAAATATCTTCCCGGTTAGGTAGGCAGGTAAGTAGGTAAGTGTGCCTCCGTGTGCACATGTGAATCCACACAGACAGCAACAATTCCCCATTCCCAGGCAATATCCGTTTCTAAGCCACATTAGAACTGCTGGGAGCTCCAACTTGTCTTTCAAGCCTTAGAAGCCCCAGAGAATCATAAAGAAAAAATGGATAGTCTTTCTTCACCACAGGAACCAGGGCACTCTCTATTCCTTAGATCATGTGAATGACTAAATTGAGTTGGGCCACAGTATTTCTCAAAGACTTAAAAACATTCCCTAAAGAACATGAGTCCCAAGCAAACCTTTCAAAGATATAAACTGTTAAAAAAAAAAAAAAGGATAATATCATAGTAATTTTTATTCATAAAGCCTGACTAGTGGTTCGATAAATTGAACAGCATAAAGCCAGAAGCTTTAGTGATGATGAGTAAAGAAGCCAGGGAGGGCAACAGTTTCCTCCTGGTTGGTTCTGCGGGCCTAGGAGAGTGTGTGAGGAGCAGAAAGCCTGTGGCATCTCGGGGACCTGTTTTCTACACAACTTACTTCAGGACTTGCCCCCTTCTCTACTGGGTGTCTTTAGTGCCCCATGATGAGCAAAGAAGCTAGGCACATGCTCAGGGAAAAACCAGAGCACACACCAGCCTCACTGGTCTCATCAAGTTCCAGCCCAACCTTCTTGTCCATTTTGAGCCAGGCCACGGTGTCCTTGATCGTGTACTGCAGTCCAAAAAACCAAGTTTCCCGAAGCCCCAGGGTCCGGCATACCAAGTCGAAGAGGTCCTTCCCTTTCCACTTCATCTGGAATGTAATAGACCAAAAGGGAGGGTGTTGTGAGCAAAAGTCATAATCCACTTGAGTAAAAACCTTTTTTCTCTGCGCTCCCTGCTCTCAGGTTCCAAAACATGTGGATGACACTAAGACGAGCACAGCAGAATCCCTCAATAATTTTAAAGCTTCCTACACAAACCATGAGTGGGAAAAATACCAATTAGAGCTTAATGGCTTAATCACTGCAAAGCATACACAATACCTCCTTTGGACAGTTCCTTATAGATCTTAATATCCCCAAAGCTGCTAATTTAGGAAAGCTGGTAAATAAGCACCTTCATTTAGGAGAGTCCAGCCTCTTGAGTTAACCCAGGGAGATGGCTAGCTTCTAGGACATTAATTGATTTTTTTTTCAATTGATTAATTGATTTTTTTTCCTTTTAAAATCATGACACTGTCCTTTGATAAAAAGCTACCAGGTTTTTTGTTTTGTTTTAAAGACTAGACTTCCTGCAAGTTTTTTTTTAAAAAGCAACAGAGGAGAGGAAATGGTAACAGAAGTCCTAAATCATGCACAGAAAGAACCATTAGCGACCAGTCAGCCAGACCACAGGTCTCTCCTAACCCAATGCAGAACTGAGGCTAAAGGGGAGGGGACTCAGCCACAGTCACACAGAGCAATTTCAGACTCTTGTTATTTAAACTTGGGGATGAAGAGACACCAATATACTGCAGCAAGCTTACCCCACAGCTTCACTTTCAAAAGGACCTAAAGCAAGGCTGCTAAACCCTTTTCTCAGCTTCAAGCTGAGAAAATGGAAAAGCAAGTTCAACATCTCACTAAGAGAGGAAAATGCCCAGTCGTCTTGGTAAATGTTGCCACCTTGTGGTTTCCAAGTTCAATCACGCAGGATGTTCCCACACTAGCCCCAGGCTCGCCCCTGGGCCCCCAGCTCCATTCCCACCCCCTCCATCTGGTGGACATTCAGATATACACTGGGTGCAGCTGTGAGCACATGAGACACATCCCAGAGATGGAGGTCACAGTAAGAATAATTTGGGGATTCAAATGCAAAGTCGCCAGACACCAGAAGGGCAAGACCACTCAGGTGCAGAAGCATCTGTCCTTCTGCCCTCATTAGAAATCTCCCAATGTCCTGGCACACGGAAGATGCATAATGAAAAGGACTGGGAGAAAATCTAGGGGTTAGAGACAGGTTATAAAAGCAAAAGGAATAAGTAAGTTAGACCTCTGATACCGGATTGACTTTTGCTAAAACCTGATTGTACAGAGGATTTTTCAAGTAGACCTTCTATTTTTAATATATATGAATGAACAGTGTGTTCTCTATGAGGTACTCAACAGGAGAGCCCATCCCTTCTCTGTGTTTACAAAGAGCAAAGTAGCAAGCTAGATGGAAGGGCACCAAAACCGCAGCAGACAAGTGGCTGAGATATGAATTGGCTTTTGTCCTTCACTGGGGCCATTTCTACTGTCTGCCCTTCCAGCTCCGCCCCATCAGCTCTCCGTGACTTCAGTGAGGCCCCTGGAACACTACAAAGGTTGAGGTCTTTAGAAATGATTTTGAGTAGAATAAAATAAAATGACAAGTTCTATGTTAAAAAAAAAAAAAAGATGATCTCCTGCAAGGCTTATTACTAAATGTCGGCACACCCATTTCTCCAGTCTGATAACAGCACAAAGGTTTTTTAATTCACGGCAGGTTTTAATTCCTACAGGCAGACTTCAATGAAGAAATGTTACTTTGGAAAACTAGAAGCTTCGGGATGCTGATTATCCTCTTGTCTCTATTTTAAGCCAGTACATAGTACATAAATTATAAATGACTACCTTTCTACAAGATAATGTAACGCTAAAGAACAGACATTAACTTGGAGAAGTTGAACACCCAAGGGTCAGGAAGCTCATGGCGTCGATTCCCAGGCTGCCACAACTCCCAGCCACAGTGGGGCCCAAGCTCAGCCACAGAGGGGCCGTCAGCAAGCAGGATGAGCACTGCATCTCAACCAAGGCTGTAAAGAGGATGAGTGAGTGAATTTCTTGACTTTGGGGGAGTTTAAATTCTCAAGCATAGTATGGTATGAATGCAGTTTTCCTGTATTCCTTTCTACTTCTTTGTTTTTAAAATGCAAAACAATCCCTGCCAAATGCAAACAGACAATGTCTTTGTTCTCAAGAAGCTTCCAATAGTGAGGAGGGGGGGTGGAATTCTCCCACGAATTCAGAATGCCCTATTTAGATTCTTAACTTTGACTCTAAGGATCACAGAATGCCAGAGTCAGATTTGAGCCAGAGTAATTACCTACTGTTAGACCCTTCCCTTTCATTATAAATAAGGAAACTGAGTCACAGGTTCTTCGGCAGCTTTCTGAGTCAGACACTGGTCTTCTCCCTGGTGATCTAAGGTGGGCAACCCCTCAGTTCCTCAGTGGCCTCTCTGCCTGTTCTGAGGGCTTCCATTTGTCTGGCTCTCCACCAGCACTCCCCAACCACCTTTTCCAGTAAGAAACTCATGTTGTAAACTCTTCTCCTGCCCTGAAACCAAACCCATTCTTGGAAGAGCCAGATACTGCTTCTTTACGGCTCAATATGAATTAGCCTCAGCTATCTCTTACTCTTTCAGTAAGCACCACAGAGCCCGTCCTCTGTGCCCAGCAATGCCAGACACGGAAAATGCAAAATGGTAGACTCATGGTCCCTGTGGGAGACACAAGGAAGGACTTAAGTAAGAAAAGGTGTTAGAGAACAAGAGAGAGCTAGACGAAGGAGGGAAAGAAAGAACTCTAAAAAAGAAAACCATGATATCTACAGTGAAATTCAAGTCATCTGGTAGAGCTGAGACAGACAGCCTGAACTCAAGATGGGGTGTGGTGGGAATTCGGTGCCATGTGGGGCCAGGTGGCTCGCCATGGAGTCCTTGAAGACTCTTGGGAAGAGGGGTGATGGGATCAGATCAGCATTCTGGAATGTGCTTCCATCAACAAGGCAGAGAACGGGTTGGAGGAAAGGAGCCTAGAATCAAGAAAAGAAAAAACAGAGGCCAACTTTGCCTGGATGAAGGAAGTAGGAGAGAGGGAAGACAGACTGAGCACTGGAAAGGAGGGAGTCGCAGAGCTGGCTCCTGAGTGCCAGTGGGGACTGAGGGAACAAGAATGACGAGTGACACCTGCATTTCTGGCTTGAGCATGAGAGATGGCAAACAGGAGGAACAGCACGTTTCAGGGGGAATAGATGAGCAACCAAGTGTCAGACAGGATAAGTTAAAGTGCTGGAGGAAACCAGGTAGCAATGTGCTAAATTCATTTGATTCTAACTCTTATTAGCTCTATTTATAAAAGAAGATGCTCTATCATTAAGTAATTATGAAGTTTTTCTTTTGGGTTAAATCTAACCTCCAACATGTTGTGTACCTACATGAGGTTCTACTTTTCAACATGCCCTTCCCCAAGTGTATGAGGTTTGCTTAGTCCTCCTAATTTGGGCTTCTCCTTCTTCACAAACAAGAACCACTGGTCACAGTTGCTCTAGGTGGTTCCCATGACACTCTGTGAAGGGAGGTCCTAGGTTGTGAATGGGCTTCTCTGGTGCCAGCTGACTCACCAGAATGTGACCGTGCCTGTCTTTACAGTTTTATCAGCGACCCCCTGCACTGTGCCGATGCTGTAACATGATCTGAATGTCTCCCAAGATTGCAGGCGCCTCAGAGCAAGAGTGACATCGGTCATCCTCTATTGCCCACAGCACCCAGCTGACTTTGTACATACAAGACACAGCAAACAATGACCATCCAACAGAAGACTTGTCTAATTCAAAAACCCAAAGCTCAAAAACTTAAAGCAAAAATTAGCCCCCATAAGGGACACCTGGGTGACTTAGTCGGTTAGGTGTCCAACTATTGATTTCGGCTCAGGTCTTGATCCCAAGGTCATGAGACTGAGCCCCACATTGGGCTCCACGCTGGGCATGAACCTGCTGAGAATTCTCTCTCTCCCTCTCCCTTTGCCCCTCCCCGGTTCCCCTCCCTCCCAGCTCACACACGATCTAGGCCTCTCTCAAAAAAATAATCTGGGGCACCTGAGTGGCTCAGTAGGTAAAGCATCACCTTTGGCTCTGGTCATGATCCCAGGGTCCTGGGATCAAGCCGCACAATGGGCTCCCTGCTCAGTGGGAAGCCTCCCTCTCCCTCTGCTCTTCCCCCTGCTTCTGCTCTTTCTTGCTCTGTCAAATAAATAAAATCTTTTTTTTTAAAAAAGGATTTTTTAAAAATCTTTCAAGAAATACTTGGTGAACACAGATTGTGTCTAAGCACCACCCAAGGTACAGGAGATAGAGAAAGAAGACAGTCTCTGCTCTTACAGAATAGGACTAGGGCATGAGTCAATCAGGAACAGATAATCACCTCCCTCACCCTACACACAATAATCAACTCCAGTTATGAGTGCCACACAGGGACCCTCAGAGGGTGTAGGGACCCCTAAGAAAGAACCCTCTATCCTGGAGGGGTGGGAAATGGTATCTAAATCAACTATCACGGTAGGAGAGAAGCGTCAAGTGAACACTGGGCTTGGGGAAGGAGCAAGCCGGGTAGTGTGTTCCAGGCACAGGGAATAGCATATGCAAAAGTCTAGAGGCAAAAAGCTCAGATGGGGGCACCTGGCTGGCTCAGTCAGTGGAGCATGTGACTCTTAATCTCAGGGTCGTGAGTTCTAGCCCCACATTGGGTGTAGAGATCACCTAAATGAACTTAAAAAAAAAAGTGGGGGGGTGTCTGGGTGGCTCAGTGGGTTAAGCCTCTGCCTTCAGCTCAGGTCATGATCTCAGGGTCCTGGGATTGAGCCCCACATTGGGCTCTTTGCTCAGCAGGAAGCCTGCTTCCCCCTCTCTCTCTGCCTGCCTCTCTGCCTACTTGTGATCTCTCTGTCAAATACATAAATAAAATCTTCAATTAAAAAAAAAGAAACAGGGGAGCCTGGATGGCTCAGTGGGTTAAAGCCTCTGCCTTCGGCTC